AATGTTCACAAAATATCCCATTGAATAGGTATGCCATAATTGAATCTTTTCTTGTAGTTGAATTTTTAGGTGGCTCCCAATTTTGTACTATTTTTTAAAATTTCCAACCCCTAGGATAGATTTCTAGGATTAATCTGCAGGGACAAATATTTTTAAGGTCTTCATACATCCATGTTCCATTTTTATGTGCACATTTTCGAAGAGAATAAGGAAAAGGTACATTCTGCCACGTGGGGCATTTCTTTGTTTGCATCTGCTCTTCACTAAGGGATTTCCTGAACAGCACTGGCTTCTGTTCTACCAAACCTTCTGTTGAGAATGGTATGGGACACTTTCTGAAATGACTTTGAAAGCTCTCTGACCATTTTCAAACTCCTTGGCCTGTAACTCTTTTCTTCAGTTGGTCTTTGAAATGACTGTGAGGAAAAAAAAATCTCCTTCACTGTCTTCCACCCCTGCTGGGAGCAATTTATAATTTTTTAAAAGAAGCTAGTAGCTGCTGCTAACATGGGCATCTTGGATTATTCAAGAGGTAGCTTGTCAATGGGCTCAAGTAAGGTATGGTATTTCTTCTTGGACTCTGGGGCTTTGCTCTTGTGGGAGTTTCAGGGTTTGCTCTTTGAAATTACGACAAATTCCCATCTATCTGGCTTTTGCAAAGCATGTACCATACAAAGGTAAGGTTTTATTAGCCAAGATGCTCTGAATAGAAGTTCTCTTGTTTTGACTTCTGTGGCTCTTTCCATGTATTAGAGTACAGTAATCTCTTTACACCTATAAGATGGAGATAATAGTAGCTACTTTTTAGTAAGAATTTATGTACAGCATCAAACTGATGCTTGGCATATAATAAAGATTCAATAAATGGCAACTGACAGATTATTTTGTACATTTTCTTATATGTATGCATTTTGAAATTTATTTAACCTCCAAGCTGAAGGAATATCAACCATCATTTTTGTTCTTCTAGAGAACCAGAAATTGTAAATGAAAAATGTCAGAGGCACATCAGTACATGCAGTTTTCTGAGAAATGCCTATATTATATTTCCATAGAAACACTAATGACCTCTGGACTCATCAGATGGAATTGCTTCCCTAAACTGTTTTCACCTTCTGATTCTGTAACTACAGCCTTGAAGCTGGGTACTATTTTTTATTTTTTTTAAATGTTTTAAATTTAAATGTCATAATCATGTGCTGACTTTTCTGCCTTCAGTCTGGTTTCAAGGCTGTAATTACAAAGCTAGAATTCTGAAAATTATATGAAAGGTGATGGAGGCTGATCAGATGGAAGTTACTAATGTTTCCATAGAAATATAGACACTTCTTATAAACTGCATTTAAGCTGAGCAAATAAGTGGTCATAATAGGTTATATAATTGAGAATCCTTGGCTCCCTCTATCCCTCATGTGCTTTTTTTTTTTTTTTTTTTTTTTGCGCCCCTAAGATTTCATGTTAAGAAAACGACATTAGGAAAAGGGCATTGTTTTTGTTGCGGTTTTTATAATGTGTCCTTGACATTTGTAGATTGGGAAAGGAAAATATTACTTGAAGCTCTGCCAGCCAGCTTTTTCTGTGTGGATTTGTGGTCTTATGACTCTGTATTCAAAAGCATTTTCTGTTATTCTTGAAGTATGATTTGTCAGGTTGCCTATGAGAAACAAAAGCTAATGGACCAAGTGGCACTCACTGGATAGAAAGACAAGAGGCAGATGTGAATTTAATGTATTCAGCCAATCCAAGAAAAGTGTTCCTGTATTTGCTTGGATCTGGAGCTAGCTTGCAGGCTGCAGACCTAGCTGTAAGACAGGCTGTGGTCTGGTTTCCTGATGGTTTTGTTACCCAAACCCCACTGCTCCCTCCCCCCCAATAAAAAAGTGGTGTTCCTTCTTTATGTCTACCCGGGCCATTCATTCTACCAAAAGGAGTCTAGAGGAAGATGGAGTTGGAGGAGGGCCTGAAAAAATGGGAAGAGTTCCTACAATTTAAGGGCTGTGGATGGTTTGCATGTACGTGTTGGTTATCCTAACAAAGCTCTTTCATTTTTCTGAAACTCCTTGTGCTTTTAGTTTCCTGGTTGAAATTTTGGGGGGGTGGGGGCAGGGGCACTATACATTGTAGGTACCTGGTAGAAATTTTAGAGCCACTGTATTGAAGTAATCAGAGTTGGGCTGGTATTGACATACTTCCTAGGTGTATACGTATATTTTCAGTGACTGTTGCTCAGGATGAAAGCCCATAACTGCTCAGGTATGGCAGTTAAAGGTCCTTATGATATGCCCCTGCTGAGACTATAGTCAAATCAGATTACCAAGTAACATTGTTTTCTCTCTTTGTTCATTCCTTTTACATGCTGCTTCCCCTGAATATGTTTCTCAAATAGCCCTGTTTGTCTAGTGAATGACTGTCTCCTCCATGCTCCTGGCCCCATGATTGCTGCTTTTCCACTCTCACTAGTATTGATCATAGCTGCCAAGCACTTTCACTAACCTAAGTGCATCATATCATTGAATCCTCGTAACAATCTACAGATGAGGAAATTGGCTCAGAGAGGTGAAGTCACTTCCTAAGTTAACACAATCAGTAAGTAATGGTGCCAGGATGCAAACCTATTCTGATAACAAAATTTATGTTCTTACTACTCCATACTACTTCCCACTTGTATTGTGTCCATCTGTCCCTATATAGTTAATTTTTTCAAAAATTTTGTTTCATCTTTTTTTCACTGGGTTTTAATCTTTTTTTATTGTGGTAAAATGTATATAACATAAAATTTCCCATTTTAACCATTTTAAGTGTACATTTTAGTAGCATTTAAGTACATTCACATTGTTGGGTTATTTTTATCTGTTCTCCACCCTTCTAGACTATTCATTCTCAGACAATAGGGTCAGTCTTATTCATGTCTGTATCTTCCAGGCCTTTGGAGCTGCTATAGTATGAGCAGATACTTAATAACATTTGAAGGAATAAGTGACTGCATTTGCAGGCAGATGGAACTATTCTGATAATAGCTGATACAGTTATTAATATGAATGAGATAGTGAATAATACTAGCATAAAGATTTCCATATTTCATTTTCTTTAAAGGTGCAACAGAATCTATCTAACACAAAACCTTCTGACCTTCTACATACTAGACTTAAATTTTATGCTTTTATGAGTTTCTTCCCCTAGACTATGATCCTAGAGGCAGGGTTGTATTTTCTGTATTGTTCATCCTGTATTTGAGCACCTTCCATGATGTATTGGCAACTGTTCTAGGCATAGAAGCAGCTCCACAGATGGTAGAAGCACAGTCCCTACATGTGAAGAACTCACTATCTAGTGGAGGAGGCACATATTGAAATTATTCCTTTATCATTTGGTGAATACTAAAGGGGCCTCTTCTGTTTTCCATATTTCATAGTTGTGGTGTTTCTGGAGCTGAATCTTGAAGAATGAGTAGTTTTTTACCAAGTGGAGGAGAAGGAGGAAGCATAGGAAGACAGGAAAGGATGTGGTATGTTTGGTGACTGATGTTACCAGAACAGCCCAGGATTGCAAAATACTGTAAAAGCTATGATGTTTAAATAGTCTGCCTGCTACTTGAATCCCATTTCTCCCACATGACTGCCAGTTGCTGGTTTGGCTTTAGGGTGCCCAGTTCTGATGACAGAAGTCATGCCCCTCTAGTCCTAGTTTGGCTCCATAATTTTTATTCTATCTATTTTTTTTTGAGACAGGGTCTCAGTCTGTTGCCTGGAGTAGAGTATACTGGTATGATCATAGCTTACTGCAGCCTTAAACTCCTGAGCTCAAGCAATCTTTCTGCCTCAGCCTCTAGAGTAGCTGGGACTAGAGATGTGTACCACCACATCTGGCTAATCCATTATTTTTGAATTTACTGTTGAGATACTACAGTTGTTTATTGAACAGCTACTATGTGCAAGGCTTGTGAGAGATGGGTGCTATGAAGAAGCAGGACAAGTGTTACAAATAATTATAACTGGGGATTTGACTTTATGTGTGAGACAAGGATAAATGAGACAAGAGAAAGTTTTTCTGAGGAAGTATTTAAACTGAGGATGAGTAGAAAGCAAACGAGAGAAAGGAGGCAGTTATTTCAGGAAAAAAGAATTTTCATTAGCTGTGTATAGAGGACCTACTGTGTTTGCCATTCATTGTGCTTGATGTATTTCTCCAGTGTGATTGTTACACAACAGTCAGACAAATGTAGCTCAGACTTTTGGGGTATGAAATGTGCTTTGAGAGGTATTTATTCTAACCTGAATAGTATACTTATTAATGGAAGAATTACTTCCATTTGTAGGTAAAATTCTTCAGCATTTGTGAAAATTTTATATAAAATTACATTGATATTTATTATAAGTTCATGTTTTCTATATTTTGCCTCCTTTTGGAAAAGAATAAATAATGTGAAGTAGAACATGACAGACATTAAATGAATGGTAATTTTCCTTTGAGTTTGTATTCCAACTGACATTGGTGTGCTTACTCATAATTACTTGTAATATTATATACTGAGCTCCTATGGTGTGCCAAGAACTTTATATTGATATCTCATTTAGTCCTCATTACAACTGTATTATTATCTCCATTTTTATATTAAGATGATAAAATGGAAGGATATATAGTAATTAAATATTACAGCAGGAGTCCTCAAAATTTTTAAACAGGGGGCCAGTTTACTGTCCCTCAGACCATTGGAGAGTGTGCACTGTGGGCCCGGGATGAGTTGGCTGTTCGGCAGGACAGGCAGCGGTGGCAAAATCACCAGGAGGGGCTGGATAAATGTGTAAATGTGCTAGGAGGCCTGCATGTGGCCCTTGGGGCCGTAGTTTGAGAATGCCTGTATTACAGTTAGGATTCAAACACAAATTGACTTCTGAGGCTGGATTTTTCCTCCTGTATATGATACTTGCTTTTTCGTATTTGGAATCAGCTCGGAGTAATTCACAAATCATAATCCTTTTTTCCTATTGTTTTCTCTTTAGGTTTCTGTCAGGATGAATTGGCAGAGCTTGACCCAGGCACTAGTAAGTTATGAATGTTACCCAATGTTCATTGGTAAGAAAAAGATGTGTGTGTATACTTTTAAATGCATAACTTAAGATGTCATTTTTAAGCCATATTTTATTGATGCTCAGATTTTATTTCACTTTAATTTATAATTATGGGAGGGGCATTGTGGGTTTTTTAGTTATACTTTCTTTTTCTTCTAATGTTATTCAGTGGGCAGGATCCCATCCATTTAATATAAAGTTGGTTTGCTGAAAATTTCTATTTAATACTGATCTCCTTGCTCTCTGTTCTCCATCCTTCCATGAAGCCAGCAACAACAAAAATTTTACTTTCATTTAGGCACAACCATATGCTTACAACTACTTTTCCAAAGTATTTGGTTTTGATGTAATTTCTTTCAAAGAAAGATTATGCTTGGCTTAGAAGTTATAATTGATAAGTTTTGTACCACAGTTTAATTTATAAAGCATTATAAGAGTGAACATATCAAGGTCTAATAAAATGATGCTTTTCAGGATGGTATAAGTCTTGATTGTAGATAATCATTTGGGTTTCCAGTGTTCCCAAAATATGACATGCTCCATTTTGGGACATGATTATAATTATAATTAGAAATAGGACATGGGAGTATCTTGTACATACAGACTCTATTTTGGTATAATGCCAAATGGTCAAATGATAATTTAGATAGAAGCTCCATGAGATAGTTTAGAATTATTTTTCTGGTTTTACTACTTTGTTAGGGTTGTAGGACTGACTGTTTGTCACCATTCTGCTGTTGAGATAAGTAAAAAAGCTCACCTTTCCACTATCCTGGCTAATATCAGCTTTGAGGGTGTGGACTTTATAACATAATTTCCATACACCTTAGTAGTATAAATATCCATGCTTGTTAAAAAAATACCTATGAATTGTGAGACAAAATATGTCCTGTGATGCTTATCAAACACCAGGGAGACAGATTTGTCTTTCTGGAAGTTGTAAAGTTCAGAATCAGTTTTGTGTTAGGTGGCATAACACCAGTATACCAGTAGCTATGGGTGAATACAGCATGTGGGGGTTAGGGATGACAACCTCCTGCGCAATTAAAAATTCATGTATATGTTTTGACTCCCCCAAAACTTATTAACAGCCTATTGGCTGTTAATAGATGTGGACTGGACAGTCTGTGAGGTGTCCAGGCAGTTGAGGAGCAGGGGCCTGATGTACATTTTATAGTCACCCGCCTGACTAGGCTCCTGGTGAGTCATGGCTCTGGGCAGAGTGGGAAGTGGCTCTTAATCACACTGGGGCACCTGCAGGGTGATTGCAGGCATTTTCTCTGCTGCATCTTCAATACATCCTTTCCAGGGAGATACAGTGGTTATTAACACATTTTGTATGGCATAAGTGTTATATACTGTATTCTTACAATAAAGTAAGCTAGAGAAAAGATGTTAAGAAAGTCATAAAGGCTGGGCCTGGTGGCTCACACCTGTAATCCTAGCACTCTGGGAGGCCAAGGTGGGACGATCACTTGAGCTCAGGAGTTCGAGACCAGCCTGAGCAAGAGCAAGACCCCAACTCTACTAAAAATAGAAAAAAAATTAGCCAGGCGTGGTGGTGCACACCTGTAGTCCCAGCTACTTGGGAAGTTGAGGCAGCAGGATTGCTTGAGCCCGGGAGTTTGAGGTTGCTGTGAGCTAGGCTGATGCCACGGCACTCTAGCCTGGGTGACAGAGGGAGACTCTGTTTTAAAGGGAAAAAAAAAGTCATAAAGAAGAGAAAATATATTTATTATTCATGAAGTGGAAGTGAATCATTACAAAATTCTTTATCCTGAGGAGGAGAAAAAGGAGGGGTTGGTCTTGCTTTCTCAGGGGTGGCAGAGGCAGAAGAAGTGGAGGAGGTGGAAAGGGAGGCAGGCGAGGCAGGCACGCTGTTGTAACTTATATTGAAAAAAATCTGCATGGAAGTAGACTCCTGCATTTCAAATGCATACTGTTTTAGCGTCAACTGAATTTTCTCTCTGTCATGCTCTTATGAATAGCCTTTGTTTAGGAGGAAAAAAGGTAAATTTAGTTATTTTCTGGAGTCATGCTCCTTTCTTAGAAGCATTTTTTAACACTAGGAAGGACATTGATATGTCCTAAAACCTTTCAACTGCTCATAAAACATGCCAAATAGTTGAAAACTTAGTTTGTTAAGAACTGAGTGTTCTGTTTGCTCCAGGCCCAGTTCTTGGCTCCACGGATAGGCAAATAAGTGAAGCTCCTGTCCTCGTGTATTAACAGTCTATTGGAAAACATTTGAAAAGACATTTTTTTAAGCTTCTATTTTAGCACATACTACTTAAGCTTATTCTCCTTTTTTGTTCTTAGTTGAAAATGGCTAATACCCATTTTCTGAGAAAGGCCCTTCATATTCTTATAAAGATTATTGTTGAATTCTTTTTTCTGGGCCAAGTAGTCCTAGCTCATTTAACATTTCTGCATAGAATCCCTACCTAGATATGGTGATTTACAGATGTCTCCATTCCATTAGAATTAACAGATAGACGTAATTTTCATGTATTAGTATACAATTGGGAGTTATCTAAAACAGTCACTTTTCTTTTAAAAATTGTAATTAGTGTATGTAGGTAGTATTCTCAGTAATTTTGGTATTATTTTTGTGAAGTTAGTAGTATTATATATTAATCTTTCTCTTTGAAGAGATACATAAGGATCTATTTTAATGATAAATAGGCAAAAAGAAAATTTTATTGTCTCAGTCTGTACCAAGCATGAGTTTCAAGTGTGCATGCACAGCCCTACCAAGTGATAGGAAGCCTCAAGACTGAGATGAGCTGTGTTTTGTGTTAAATTGGTTATTATTTTTGATACTGCATATTTTTTGGAGTCTGGGAAGGAATAACCTTTCCTATGTTAATACCTCATGACTTTTGTACATTAGATTGAGAATAATAGGGATTTCTTCATGTTGTATCTTTGGAATTTGGAGTCTCCAAAGTCCCCCACACCCAAATTTCTGATAGGAAAGCCTGGTCACACTTGCTTATTTTGGAACAGGAAATACTTCCGTTGCTAATTTCTGGTTGTGTTTGGCAGTGGTTATAGGTAAGCTTGGGACAACAGGTGGGATGTGTTGGAACTAGTTGAGGAAAGACTGACTTTGTCTAATTCAAATGGCCTTTTTTACCTTTTCTGTGATAGAGCAGATGGGCAGCCATGCTTAGAATATAGGCAGCTGTTCACACTCTGGCTGCCTTCCTATGATTCCTGGGCTTCCTGGAGTCCAATGTTATGGCACAGGTTCAGGCTAAGTTCATTTCTACAAGAAGTGTCCCTGTACCATGTCCATTAGCATAAGCTAGGGACAAGGGCAGTCAAAGGTCAAGAGAAGTTCAAAACAGCATAACCTTTCTGTGCTTCTGTTTCCAAATAACCCCAGTCTGCCCTGCTATCCGAGTTTTTTCCTCAGCCATCGTGTTTACCGTGTAGTTGTAAAACTCAAGAGAACAAGGACCAACTTGATACAAGGGAATTTAGAGAATAGAAGTCATTGTTGCTTAAAACAGGAGAAATAATTGATTTATGTTTGGGGGCCAATTAGGCTATAAAACAGGAACAGTTAAGGGACCTGTGACTTCAGGACAGCTACTTGCTCTGATTTCTATCCCACAGACAAGGGGCTTCCCAATAAAGGCTGTCAGCTTTCTTGGCTAAATTATTAATTCCTTTCATGCCTCTCAGGGATTGTAAATAGCACATAATACAGGGAGACAATTGGTAGTGTTCAGTTATTGGCCAGATAGAGGGTCAAAGGGTAAATAGTTGGATTAGCAACAGCTGTTCTTCCTCCCCAAACTTTTGTCCCTTAATATCTATTTCAGCAAAGCTATTCCTGAATTTTTGGCCTACATATCTCCTCTTGTAATATAATCCTACAAATAATTACATCAAGAGTAAACATTGACCAAAATTGAAAATATTTATTTTAATTTGATTTCCAAAGTTAAAGGTGAACATTCTTGTTGGTATGTGCTGATTATATTGTCAAAGGTTATGATCTCAAGGAAAGTAGGTACTTGAAGTTAGACATGTTACAAGCATTTTAGCTGTTTTTTACTAACTGGTTGAGGATCTTGGTACAGCTTGATTAAAAGAAAAAAATTACTTTAGTTTAAACTGGTAGTAGAATAAGGTATGTTCATTGTGGAAAACACTAAAAGAAAAATATACGCATCCTTAATCCCACCACCTCAAATAACCATTGTTTCTCATTTGAGAATATGTCCTTTCAAGTTGTGTCTGAGCTCATCTTTTACATAATTAGGAATCGTACTATATATGTAATTTTGTATCCTGTTTTTTTTCCCACTCATGATTACATTGGGAGCATTGTCCAAAGTCATGGAACATTTTTCATAAATATTTTTAATGGCAGGATAATATTTCAATGAAAGTAAATAGCTTTACCATGATTTATGTAACCATTCTTCTGTTGTTGTGTAATTAGATTGTTATCAGTTTTTTATACATTATAAATGTCATAGTGAACATGGTTGTAAATTTTTTGTCTGCATTTCAAATGACCACTTTTGCTTTCTAAAATATATACCCAAACTCTTCCGAATTAAGAGTGGGGACTCTGGCTCAAGATTGCTTAGGTTCAATTTGGCTGCACTTTCTGTAATCTTGGTTAAATTTAATCTCTCTGTGCCTCGGTTTTCTTGTCTATAAAATGGGGACAATAAAAATGTATTTCTGGGCCAGGCATGGTAGCTCAGTCCTGTAATCCTAGTACTCTGGGAGGCCAAGGCAGGAGGATTACTTGAGCTCAGGAGTTCGAGGCCAGCTTGAGCAAGAGTGAGACCTCGTTTGTACGAAAAATAGAAAAATTAGTTGGGTGTTATGACACATGCCTGTAGTCCCAGCTTCTTGGAAGGCTGAAGCGGGAGAATCACTTCAGGAGTTTGAGGTTGCAGTGAGCTATGTTGATGTCACTGCACTGTAGCCTGGGCTACAGAGCA